TCGTTCATTGTACTACTTGTCTTGAACTCTCGTCCCTCAGCCCCAACCTCATGGCACCTTCCCAGCTTAGTTGACCACCCATATCCATTCTCAAGTATACCCCCTTGTAGTTATCCGCATGGTCATTACTGGGATACTTACAATAGACGGCGACCCACAACTAATCTAAGTCTCGTCGTAAGCATAGCTGTCTAAGCTTTTCATAATCTGCTTTCGAAGATCAGGTCAAATCATGTACCACTGCACCATTCAGCCATGGCGGTATCTTTAGTGTCGCCTGCACTGTCGGAATTCAATGCTCGCGGCGCAAATAGTTCATTGTCAAGAGCTAATCAAGAAAACGAAATCTCACCTCCTGAGACATTATGTTAATCCTTAGCATAATCTTTCATTCTATTCAGGTCTCTCCCACGTCCATTTCAAAGGCCTGCACTCCGAATTTTTGTATTCCTGCGGATTTTCGTATTCCCATGGGCTTATATTTGGGGGCCAATTGAGGGCAGAGACTAAATCAACGAGAGAGAGTATTGTGCTGGTGATGCCTAGGATTACGATGCACAAGGGTAATGATCACTGAGGGTGAAGGAAGAACTTTCCAAGTGGCTCCATGATGAGTAGAGGATCAATGGAGCACTGTATAGAAAGTGTTTCTAGATTGTACTACCAGATGGAGGAGACTGGAATATTCCGTGATACTGTTTTGGGTAAATAAGGCGAGAGTCTAGCTACTTCAGATGTGTATATAATTAGCTCTTTCTACCTCCTCAACCCTTGTAGTCCTGAATATCAAATATATCAGCAGTTCACATTGATTCAACGATAATCATCCGTAAACCTTCTGCCAATTAACCTCCGTAAGCTCTTACCTTTACAACAGAGAGACGTGTGTTTATTGTATTACTTGAATCTTAGACAGTCTAGCACATTGGGCTCCTCTCTGGCCCAGGCCACACCTTGTTAAGTGCTCCTTGCCTTTCGTGTTTCTTGAGAGATAATTGATATATTTCCGGTGTTAAACTATAAGATTGTTGGTCAAACATAATCCTCCCTGTGCCTTAACAGAATGGAGTTATGGTTGTGATTAGTGTTTACCTAAGAGTAAAATGTGTAAGGCGTTTGGAGATCTTATATACCCTGTATTAGTAGATTCGTATTAGCGTGTAGGCGAGGCTGGTAGACACATATTAGTAGGAGCACAGTCAGAGCATTTTTTCCTGTAATGCTGAGCGAGCAGAGTAATATACACGTTCTGTTAACCCTATAGTTTATCAGTTGTACTTCCAGTACTACTGTGTTACCCGTCTAGAGGAATCATATTCTAACACCCGGCATGAATAGCCATTCAGCTCAGTATTCACCCGTCGTGGGGGACTATTCTCAACACCTGTCAGTGGTGTCCCCTACGAACCTCCAGCTCTCACTGTAGAGTCTGCAGAGCCGAGATTGAGTAACACCTTATTAACTTTGAGCTGAGTTATCTCCCCCTCCGTCAAAGATACGCTTCCGATAACACATAAGACGACAAAGACGAGAATAATGATGCTGGGAATGAGGAAAGATAATGCGGTACCAAACGTTACAACGGTAGTCAGAGAAGCCCTCGTTATATCGCAACATGTGCTACCCACCGGCGGGCGAACAAAAAGCCCACGAAAGCAGACTAAAAGACCCTTCCACCCTCAAGAATAGCAGATTTCGACCCGTCAAAAATATCGTCCCTACTCATCTTAACTTCCGAATCTACTAGCCAGGAGGGCATCTGAAGTACATGAGTTACTCGACAACCCCACGTCCGTAACGACTTTTGGATGCTAGGCTAGGCTCCTTCACAACAGTCACTCCCGACCAAGACTTTTCTGACATCCTTTCACGACCTACGACTTGTCCTGCGGCATGAATCAGGGAGGAGTAAGGAGGAGGCTAGGAAGGTTGAGAGACACTCTTAGGTATACACAGGTCTGCTGCGCCCGGCTGGTCGGCCTCTTCGTCATAGGAGTGCCCTGCACCCAGTGGTTTTTGAGACTTTTCCTTGCAGCTACATACCCGCAAATGGCCATCGTTTCGTTGGCTGGAGAGAGGAGATAATGAAGGGATAACGGCTCCTCTTAGTGTTTACTCGAATGAAGACTTGTGGGGGTATTACTGCTGGAAAGAAGTCGTGAGGGAGGCAAAGGAGGGAGTATACTACCCAAGGCATATTTACTCCCGGCCTGTATGGAGAAAGGACCTACATGTCCTTACATTGTTATAGACTTTTTAGGACAATAAACACTCACTCACTCTTGCCTACGCCATTTGTTGGTAATCACAGCAACGAAAATAAAAGCGCTAGACTAGACTGAGTAAGGTTTCATGCGGTGAGCATTGTTTTATGCATTTTGATGTTGACATAATTACGATTATTATGCTTGTGTGGGATCAGATAAGGATCATGTTCCAGTCCTAATCGAATTTGTGACTGTGGAAGAAGGTACATGGGATGTAAAATCACTGATAAACATGATTATATTATCCTTCTTCATGCGAAGCCGATGCGATCATAGATGATTTCTTTGCTTTCTAAATGCTCCGCTATACATGCTCGCATGTTCCGCAGATTAGGTACAGTCAAGAATACTTGCATCTAGATCGTAGTTAAATTCCAACTCAATCATCTCTATATTCAACCGACTTACCCCGATCTAGGTTGAACTTCTCTCACATGAATCATTCAATTTAATCTTACAACGAATAATTTCAATGATAGATCAAGGAGCTTCTCTGATTGTAAAAAGGTACCTGCCTTCTAAATCACTAGCACCCTGCCACTTTAAAATTACTATGCTATGGAAGCTCGGAAAGATGAATAAAAGTCATAATATACGAAACTTGGACCTTGCATTGTGGAGGACTGCCGTACTAATAGAGTTTCTAGTTTGTAGGGGGCAGGTAGCTTTGACGTGGAGCCAGATATGAAAGATGTCATTTACGAGTATGCTGTAGCACTTTTTAGGGTTTCCTGTGTCCAGGCCACGGGACACTGCGTTGAGATGATTAGTGAGATTCAAATTGTGTGATCATATTCCAGCATGCATGTAATATTGTGAGTTTTCTGTTAGGATTAGAGAGATCAGGGAACAGGTTGCACTAGACTAAACGAACTCTACAGGCATTCTGTGATTGAAGACATCGGGCATGCTTTGAGTCTATAGCCTAACGCGAGCCACTTCGCAACCCATACGCACGTACGCACAGTTTTCAACTGGGATGTTTGTTTGCGCCAAGGCCAAGACTTCGGATAGTTCTACCTAACTTAAAGACAGGGTGCGCCACCTCTGCTTTGGTGAATGGAAGTGTGAGGAAATTATATCGGCTATCACGGCAATAGTTGGCCCATGTCTAGGTGTTGGCTTAGAAATTGCTCTCTTGGTGGGTACTGTCGGGGGATTTTGGCAAGGCACAGCGCATCGAACCCAGAAATAGTGTTTTTCTCGGGTTCTTATCAATCAAGTGTTAATCGTACTACTTGAGTCTGACTCTCTAGCACGTCGGTGCCTTCTCTTGCTATAAGCCAAGGTTATATACACGAGCAGTACATATCCTCCAATGCTTCTTAAATAGTTTCCTTCTATTAATGATAGCGCATTGTTTTAGTTTAATTGTTTGATTACTTGAATTCATGCAAATATCACCGACATAGAGGACTTCTTGCCGACCGGCTCAGCTTGTATAAACTGCCTGACATGCTAGTGCCCCCAAAGAGAGAAGTAATCTTGATTGAGTCCCAGCGTTTCTGCTAGTTTTTGGTGTTTAAAGGAAATCACCACATCTACCTGTCATCTAAATGATATCTTGTCAATCATGGATTTTATCTTCCGTTCTTTTAAACACTTCAGTGACCCAAAATCTCTCCAATATCTCCTTACGGACCTTATGTCTCTGTGAAGATTCTATGTCCAGTAGAACGAGATATTAGCTCTGCTAAACGTGTTGTGAAGCTAGTGTAGCTGTAAATGGTTGGGGGTCGTTGCTTCGCTGTTCTGACTCTTAGTTGTGGAAGATTAAATGATCACTTGGAGTTACAGAGTATTAATATAGTAGCCGAGCAAACTAAAGACCATATTGGTTGGAGGTCTGGTAGTTCGTTCATGGTTAGTGTCTCATTCAAATCTATTCATTCTTAGTTATGAACCAAAAGCTGACCGTTGAATCTGCTACCGTCCAAAACATCAGCAACCAGATACTACTGTGTATCCGAAGTAAATGCCTAAAACCTGCCACCTAGAGCATAATGAATAGAAACAACCCACAATTATTTAGTCTCTCAAGCCCGTGCACACATTCAGTGAATGCGAAGAGAAAAAGGAAATATGTAAGACGTCACTTGGCCTGTTACCACTTCCTTTAATGCCATGTAGGCACTACCCATACACAATGTGCAACATCCGGACCGAAGCTTTACGCAAAGTAAGACGTTGAGCTATTTCCACGATATTTATAGCTGAATCTTATCGTAATTGCGCTCAACGCATGCTTTGTTTCAGGCCTCTCAACAAATTTGCAGCAAAGATAGGTTAAAGGCTACAATATTCAATATCTTTCAAAGCCCTTGCCACACTTAGTTGCCGAGTCGATGCTCGATGAATGATATTTTAGCACAGATTAACACCGGTTGAAAGTGCAGAACTTTCTTGAAATTTAATTTCTTGCTCATTGGCACACTTAATGTTTCCAGCTCCCAGATCGTCTTTATAACCAACGATACGTGTTGATGTTGATTTCCTTGGCAATTTCATAAATGTATTAGTCATATCTACCGAGATCTAATTTTACCACGTCGATCGCTGGCGCAGTCAACCAACGAATGGACTCGACACAGCCTAACAGATACCCATTCAAGTCGTCATTCACATACAAGAATCAATTGACCCGCAAGCACGTCGGTCAAGTCGTCCAGAAATTCCGAATTAATTAGCTACATCTCGACCAGCGCATATAGACAATTTTCCTTCATTAGCATCATGGCTCAGCTTGATACCCTGGACATTGTTGTCCTGGTCGGTATACTCATTGCCAGCGTTGCATACTTTACCAAGGGCACATATTGGGGCAAGACTGAAGATCCATTTGCAAAATATCAACTTAATAATGACAAGAATCGAGCACTAGGAAAGACGAGGAATATTGTGGAGAAAATGGCGGATACAGGAAAAAATTGTGTCATATTTTATGGATCACAAACTGGCACAGCTGAGGATTATGCTGCTAGGTTGGCCAAAGAAGGAAAAAGCCGTTATGGGTTAGAGACAATGGTTGCTGACCTCGAAGATTACGATTTTGAAACGTTGGATACTTTACCCGATGATAAAGTTGCCATGTTTGTCGTCGCTACATATGGAGAAGGCGAGCCAACTGATAATGCTGTCGATTTTTACCAGTTCATAAATAGTGACCCACCCGAATTTTCACTCGGCCAAGATCCTCCTCTTCAAAATCTCACCTTTGTCGCTTTTGGTTTGGGTAACAACACTTACGAACACTACAATTCAATGGTAAGAAATTTAACTTCCACTCTAGAGAAACTTGGCGCTCATAAAGTCGGTGCTGCCGGCGAGGGTGATGACGGTGCTGGTACAATGGAAGAAGATTTTATCGCCTGGAAAGACCCTATGTGGGCTGCTTTAGCCGAGAAAATGAATCTTGAGGAACGTGAAGCGGTTTATGAGCCAGTTTTTAGCATCAAGGAGGCTGAGAACTTGACGAATGACTCTCCAGATGTGTACTTAGGAGAGCCGAACAGGTTGCATTTGCAAGGTCAAGCCAAAGGACCATTCAATTCCCACAACCCATTTATTGCGCCAGTTATTGCGAGTAGGGAGTTATTTAACAACACTGATAGAAATTGCATCCATCTTGAAATCGATCTAAGCGACTCTGGTCTCAGCTACCAAACTGGTGACCATGTTGCTGTATGGCCAACAAACTCTGGTCGGGAGGTTGATCGTTTTCTCAAAATAACTGGATTACACAGCAAAAGAAATACTGTAGTTCATGTGAAGCCTTTAGACTCTACTGCAAAAATACAATTCCCCACGCCTACCACTTATGACGCTATCGCAAGGTATTACATGGAAATAAATGCAGCTGTGTCTCGACAATTTGTTGCAAGCTTAGCACCTTTTGCGCCAACCGAAGACGCAAAGTTGGAGATGATTAAACTTGGTAGTAATAAAGACTATTTTCAATCTAAAGTTGGTAGTCAATATTTAAATGTTGCTCAAGTGCTAGAAAATGTCTCTACTGGAGTTGAATGGAAATCAATTCCCTTCTCGATTATCATTGAAGGCATGAATAAAATACAACCGCGCTATTACTCTATCTCATCTTCTTCCCTAGCTGAGGAAAAGAAAATATCTATAACTGCAACAGTCGAGTCAAAGAGTATCCCTGGCCGCTCAGACGCTCTCAAGGGTGTCACTACAAACTATCTCTTGGCCTTGAAGCAGAAACAGAATAATGAACAAGACTCAGCTCTACGTGGCTTATTATACAATATCGATGGCCCACGGAAGAGATACGAAGGAATACGTCTCCCTATTCATATTCGTCATTCAAACTTTAAGCTTCCTTCGGATCCCTCTAAGCCAATCATCATGGTTGGACCGGGGACTGGCGTTGCACCATTTCGTGCCTTTGTCCAAGAGAGGGCTACTCAAGCAGAGTCTGGAACTAAAATAGGTCGCATGATACTTTTCTTTGGATGTCGAAAAGAATCTGAAGATTTTTTATATAAGGAAGAGTGGAAAGCAAGTCAATTGTATTCATTTTTATATAACCACTAACGCGATCCAGGCGCACCAACAATCTCTTGGCGATAACTTTATGTTGGTGACTTCATTCTCCCGTGACGGGCCAAAAAAGATATATGTTCAAGATAGGATTCAAGAGTATAGCAAGGAAATCAACGATCTCATCACTAAACAAGCTTACTTTTATGTCTGTGGCGATGCAGCTAATATGGCTAAGGCTGTTCTTAATGCCCTCACTAGAGTTATTTCTGAACAACGCAGCATCTCAGAGTCAAATGCTGAAGAAATTGTCAAACGCATGCGTAACTCGAGTCAGTATCAGGTAAGTCTTGTGCACAGCATTATGATTTCCTGTGAGACAGATCTAAATCCTACAAAACCATTGAACGGTCTTTCACTCCTGCAAAGCCTTCAAATATTGAAATAGAATCCGTCTCTCACTTATCAACCGCACACTAACCTGCTATTTTAGGAAGATGTATGGTCTTAAAAGTTACAAAATATTACTGGATTTTTTCTCTCGGCACAAGGAGCAAGTAAAGCTAATAAGACGAATTCGAGTTTGATTTTGGACGATTATAGTTTCACGGTTGAGGATGCATCTTTTGGTTATGTATCTCGTCTAATTGAAGAAAATTGCATATGGTAGGCGTAATTTGCATGTGTGCTTTGAACTCAACGCCTTCAAACCTACATGTTGACAGTTTTGGTCACTCATTCTAACAGCTATTTCTAAATTGAATAGATTTCAGAAGAACATTCTGCTGGTGATTTATAGAACAATATAGCGCATAAATTCGGGATTTTGTTCAAATTATTATTTCATCAGCAAGCACAAAGGGGATATATCTGTGCATGATTACTTTATAATAAAACAATTTATAAGTGTTAAGTTATGAATAATTGAGAATATCCATCCAAAGGCAGTTTTAAACAGAGGACCTGGGATTCATTAATACAGAAACTTGATGGGATGTTGTCTCCACGCCCAAAATTCGCGTATATGCAGTTGCGGGTTTAATATATAGCCACTAGTGTCTTGAGCACATTTACCCCCTAAAAAATTGAAACCAGAACATGCTTAAAATCAAAACAGCAAGAATTGGCCAAGTATTGACTCTACCGTCGAGAGTTTGACTTTTGTACAAGTCTTTTTGCCCCCCCATCTGATCCTTTAGCTGCACTGGTCGCAAGATATCAGATAAAGCCCAAATCTCGAGGTTTTGATAAATTGTTAAACTTTTTTTTATTTAATTTAGCCCGATTTGGCGCTCTATCGGCCCATGCAGATTTCTACGAACTCTTTTATTTATATGAGGAAACCTTGCAGTGAAAAACCTCTAAGCTGTCTGATTAGATTCTGCGCCATTATAATCTTACCTTTAGGAAGTGCACTCACACTGTTGCTGCCTGTGTGGATTCCGTCCTTGTCCTGTGTTTCAATTTTCCTCTATTCGCCTAATTGACGCCTCAATTTCTCCGTTCATCCGAGATGCATTAGCTATCCTTCCTTTTGAATCCACTGTGCAATTCTAGTCATATCTTTGACGTTATTTACCATAGCTTCGAAAGATTGGGTTGTCAATTTTCGTAGCAACTCACCTCTTCCCTTTGCCCATCTTGGACAACACATCATCATGTGCTTTATATTTCGGGACGGATATCCACATTGGCAGCATGGTTTTCCTACTCCTGGCACATTCCTTCTGTAAAGTAAGCATTGAGCCCAATGTTCTCGCTTCTTACTTGTGTGGCAATGCCGCTCTGGGCCCTGCTAAGGTTTTGGTGGATTTGGATAGGTGACACTCTATAGTTCATCATGAGTCTAGCTGTTTTCTTGTCGTTCTACAAATTTGCAGCTTTCCATAAATCCAGATTGGCTTGCGCTCGGGGACCCAAGCGCTGCTCCTTCATCTGGCTCGTCCATGTTTCTGACCATTCCTTGAAAGCAGCTTTCTTACTGGCTACCTTCTGTCCTTTTTAGACTCGATGTTGCTGCAGATTAGGGTCCGTTCCTCTATATAATCTCTCCTATTCTGATGACTTTTGTTTAATTTTTCTTCATAAAAACTTGACTTTTCTGCGTGCAGTTAAAATTGTCTGTTGGATAGGTAAGTTATTGGATAGCCCGGTATATTGAAGCCTCCTTTGTTTTAGGTAGATCTCTATCGGCAGAGTTGATGTTTCATGCTCTAGCATTCTACTACTTGTCGACTGGTTTGCCCCGGTAATGAGCTTTAGGAATTTCCTTTAAACACATCTGAATGGTTTGAGTATCCTTTCGGGGATGTTGACTGCCGGTCCAGTCCTGGCCCAGACACATGAATTTTTGTTAATAACATGAAGAGTCTGTTGAATCATGATCAAGATTGGAAACTCCAAATACAACGATTCCCATACTATTTTGGCAATAAAACAAATTAAATCCCCTTGACAGTTTGAATTTGATTTTGATTTCAATTAACCCGATCAGGCACCCTATGGGTCCATGCAGGTGACTATCTGCATTACTTACAAAGGAGGAAACCAATTTGGTGAAAGCCCCCTGATCCTGTCTTTTTATGTTCCTATCAATTTATTTAGTTTACCTTCAGGAAGTGCAGTGTATACTGTTCAGCCCGTGTGGATTCCATCCTCTCCCCTTCCAGATCTATTTACTTTATCCGACATTGCCACCTCGACTTCTGCAAGTCGAAACTGTTTTATCCACCCTTTGTTTAGTATCCACTGTGTAATTCTGGCCATATCTTCTGGGCTGTTCATCATTGCTTCAAATGACCTGTCTTAAGCTTGTCGGACAAAGTCGCCTCTTCCATTTGCCCACTGCGGACATGCCAACATCATATGCTTGACGTTATGCGACGGATATCCACATTGACAGCTTGGCTTTTCTACTCCGGGTACTTTTCTTCTGCTCAGGTAAGAATTGAGTCCGATATGCTCGCTCCTTAGCTGAATGGCGACACTGCTTTGGGCCCTAGTTAGGGTTACGGTGAATTCTTAAGGGTGTATCTTTGAAGTTCATTTTGACGCTGCCTGTTTGTTTATCAATAAATATATTCGCCGCTTTCCAGCCCCTTGACAGTTTACTTGTTATGGCCTGAATTCTCTGGCCTGAGGCAGAGTTACTGAACGGGATATCGAGCTAGCCAATATTAACTAAAGAGATAAAATTACGAGGTCATCTCCAAGACCGGCTTTCGGAGGCTCGGGCGCGTGGTGGCCGAGGCGGAACGATGGAAGGGAGATTGTCAAAGTTTTTCTTTTGTAATGCAGGATTTTGCGTGGAAGTTTTCTTTTGTTTTGTTTTCAACTCTGGGCTGCTGTACTCGTCATGCTTCAACACATAGATGCGTTTCGGCATGGTTCCGGCCATTCAGGTGGGACGAGGCACTTGTACTTTACGGCAGTTAACCTGATCCGGCCCAACCCCACTCGTGCTCAAGCTCCAGTAGGAGTACGACGGTAGTTACTTCATCTAGCACGTTAATGAACAATAAACGTACAATTCGAGAAATTCGAAAATTCATTTTTTCCCTCTTTCCTCCCTCATCGACCTCGTCGCATTCATCTCTGAATTGTGATCGAGCTCAGGCATTTTCACCACACCTCCAGTTCGAAAAAAGCGTCCCAACGCCAAGTTGGACAACACGAGAGTCCATCCGAGGGCTCTCGAACAATTACCTGGCCTTTTCCAGTCTCCGAAATGCGCAGAGATGAGCAAGGTCTCTACCAAAGGGAAGGAAAAAGCCCTCCCCGCCGTCGCTGAACCCGATACTGACATGATCGGGTCAGTTGAAATTATTGAGGAAATTCCTCAACCACCCTCCGTCCCCCACGGGATTGGAGAATCGTCAAAATCTCCTCCCACCGCATCAAAACCGTTGGAAAACGCTGCACCTATATCAGCGCCAAAATCAACGTCGCAGCCGAAAGCTGCGTCAAAAGCCGAATGCCCTCCTGAGCTCCGACTAATAGTCGAAGCCGAACAACGACGCGATGCCGAAACAGCGGCAAATCTGGCCCTCTGCTCCGCCGCCATCTCTGGCGTCGAAGCCACCGTTCTTCCTTTGACCAACGGGTCAAACAGACAATTCGTAGACTCGATTAGAGTCTACTTACGCGCCGCTATAGCGCAATACATGGCCATGGGCCTGGCCACTACGCCACCCGTCCTCCCTCCTCGCCTGTCAAACCATCCCCCAAGGGCTCCCGACGCCAGAAGCATACAAATTCCCGCCGTCCCAGTGCTACCTATAAAAAGCTCCTGGGTTACGGTGGCCAGAAACGGACTGCGACAGAAAGCAGTCCCAACTGTAAAGGCTGTGCCGAAACCTGTGGCAAAGGCCCCAAAGAAAGATGCCCCGAAGGCGAAAGTCGACAAGCGACTATTCCTTCGCCTAGAAAAGGAGCACCCGTGGCGCCAGCTTACGCCTGCTGGCCTACGGCAACAACTACAGAGTGAGCTAAATTGCTTCTTGAGTGACGCCTGCTCCATATACCGTGTTAGAACCGGCTTTGCGATTCTGACAGGGAATGAAAATAAAAGGGAAGAGCTCCTAGATGCTGCACTAAAGTTTTCGGACTTCGGCGCCAAGCTCGAGGAAGTCTCCAACCTTGTCGCCTTTCGGATCGCGAATGTTCCGGCGACCATAAAAACAATCGACTGTACTTATACGGTCAATGCGGATAGGATCTCATTGGAGATCTACCGAAAAACACAAAAGCTTCCATACAAGGTGCTACCGCACGTGACATGCCGTCCTGGAGCGCCGCACAGAAATTGGAAAGCCCTTTTCGACCGGAACAACGCCCCTCGCCCAGGCTTCCGCATTCTCGAAGAGGCTGGTATAGCTACCATTCACAAGCCACGACCACAAATCGAACAGTGTAAACGCTGTTTGGGCTTCCACGCCACTCGTGGTTGCTCCCGCGCTCCAGCTTGCTGGAACTGCGGCTCCAACATGCACTGGGAAGCCGAGTGCAAGGCCCTCACAAAGTGTCGCAACTGTGGAGGACCCCACCGATCGGATTCTCGGGACTGGCAAATCAGACCCAGAAAGTCTGGGCCGGTGACAAAAGAGCAGCTCGCATGGATACGCCACCTCGAGCAAGGGAAGTTCGCGGAGGCGGCTCGAGCTAGGGCTGCAGCCAAAAAGGCCGAAGAGGCGATCGTCGCCGCGGCGAAGGATGCCGCAATGGCCGAGGCAACAGGTTTCGGAGTGCTGGGATCTGAAGAAGAAGTTCGAGGGCACAGCAACCTCGACGATGTCCCCTTCTGGGACATCTACTAACCAAAAGCAGGATACCGGCTGAAACAAAGGTGCCTGCTAACCCATTTTTTGCTCTCAGCGGAGAATGGGCAAATTTGTCATTTGGAAGGTGTGACGGACGAGGGAATGTGTGAGGAGCACATTGCTTGGGTCC